CGGCGTTAACCCCTTCAAATAAAAGTATTTGATGACAGCACGATTTTCCTGCTTTTCCATTTTTACGAAAACCACAGAGGCGTCTTGTTCAGCGTGCTGTCAAACCTACACTAGCAAGGAGATCGGGCTGAAACTATAGCTACAAGCTATCCAAGGATGGTACTATAGAATGTCACCTCAAGGTAGGCCTAGTGGCGTCATCTCTTGGTTAGGCCGGAAACTTATCAATCCACCCTCGTAAGTACATAGGTACATACATTTTGAGGTAAGATCAAACTTGTATCATCGTATCATCGAGCCTTTGTTTTTATTATGATTAGTTTGACACACACTTCCGTACGAATTGGTTTGTTTAGTTATGTTTCAGTTACTGTTACTCTTTCGTTGTATACAGAGTAAAATTTCGAACCATTTGATATTTCAAACACCCGATAATTCGTGATATTTTAAGAGTCCCTCGAGTTTTAATTAACGAGAGTCGACTGTATATTAATATGGTTAATATGGGTTGCATATAGTCAATGAATTAAACTAATTATAAGTAAGCATACATCAACTTAACAACAGATATAATTGTCTTGTGACATGTACTTATAGTTCTAAAATAGTTTAATTCATTGACCTTAAGTAATTCATGTATGTGTTAATAATTATCGCCTGAAGAGAACAATAATAAATCGTTGACGAAACGTCGAGAATAAGAATGGTAAATTGATTTCACGTTGCTCATTTAGATCATTAATCCCTATCATCATCATCATAAGGTCGTCAGTCATAAGACTGGTTGGATTGCAACTCCACTCTTTGCTATCCTGAGCTAATCTTCGCGTTTCCCTAAAACTGAAACATCCTGCATCCTGAACTAATTGTAAACATTAATCTAATCCAGTGGTTTGCAAATGGTGTTCCGTGGAACCCTGGCATTTCGTGAAAGGATCATAGGGGTTCCGCGAGATGTGACGTTTCTTGTACTCGTAAAAATATACAAAATTCAGTGAAAAGCAATCACTCTGTATTTATCCGTAACAACAGCATATTTTTCATGACTGAACAGTGTGTTTTAAATGTAGCTATTGTTATCCAAGAAATCATTAGTTACAAATATATTGCAGTTAAGTGTTTTTAGAAATGCATGCGAAAATATGGGATTGCAGCATCAATCACTCTTTTTACAAACAATTTTTTCGTCAGTTAGTCATGCCAAACTATTGAATGACGAGAAATTGATAATGAAATTAGCTTATTTGGCTGATATATTCAACAAACTGAACGTAATCAGCAGGTCCTTACAGTAAAGAACCACAACTACGTCTGCAGCAAGAAACAAATCATCTTATTTAACGATAAAAACAAATTTTATTTATTATCAATAAATAAATTTATCATGAAGAAAATCCTAAGTTCTAGGAGTAAAACTTACGTATTATGAGATTTTACTTATCAAACAGCCAAACCAATGTTAATGAACGTAAGTCAGCCTTAAACTTTTATGTCTACGTACCAAATCAAGTACACTGGCCGGTATTTCCGAAGTGAAAAAAGTCCTAAATCTTCGGAAACGCAATGGCAAATCTGGTAAGATGGAAAACTCTCCATTAAGAAGGTCCAGTCGAAAGCAATTTTCTTCTCCCGTAGGACACGAAAGAATCCTGCCATCACCGTTAACAACCACCGCATCAAATGAAGCAACTCCATTACTTACCACGGCGTCGTCTTCGACAGAACACTGACATGGCGAAAGTACATCCTTTTTTTTTTTTATGTTTTCGTGGAAGAGGGGAAATCTTCAACACCCAGCCATCCATAGTGTCGGACCCAGTCGTACGGATATCCTTGCCATCCGTGTCAAGAATCTAGCCGCATTTATATCCCTCAAGCCCTTCTTCAAAAACAGCTCCATCTCTAATCAAACAAAAATCTGTGCGTTCAACGTAAATATCAGAAGCATTTGCTCCTATACCATCCCCATCTGGGACTGTGCCGATTCGCACCGCCTACAAATTCTTTAAGGCATTTACATGTGGATTCTTCATTGCGCACTCAACTATCCCTGGTTCGTCAGAAACATCCAAGTTCTAAAAGAAACTGGTCTACCTTCACTCCCCGAGGCTGCAGTTAGGTTAATCTCCGGGCCTCAGTGTCAGGTCACCCTCATCTCGACACTTTCCGACTTCGCCCCTACACCAAACGACAGTTTTAGAAGGCTCTGCAACCTTCTACTTTGAGCTGCTTCCCTTCCGTTCAATCTTAGTTTCGCATTTTTAGCGCGAGTGTCTACCCAACTCATCCGAGGTAGGCCATCGATTCCCATTTCCGCCCAATGCTTCCTTCCTACACCGATTTCCCTTCCCGTTCCTAACCTCTTTCCATTGAACCTTTCCTGGGATGTATAACCTCCGGGTTGATCTCCTTACTCGAGGAGGGGATTTAGTCGGTAGGCGCTTCGGCGAATCCGACACTACCCCCATTCAGGGGGTGTCTTTTGAAAATTTCCCCTCCTCGAGGAAAAACTAAACAAAAAGGAAAAAAAAATCACTACGCGCCACTGAACTGCAAATTTGTTAGAGTAATGACGCTGCACCGCTTTGGTCCATGAAAATTATTGGTCCTTTTATTTATTGCTGTGCTAAACACTTCCGTCTATGTACCTGTCAATCGCTCTATCTATCTGATTTCCCAATAAAGACAAAGCCGTTTTTACATTACTTTTTTTTTGAGTTGTGTAGCTCTAAAGTTTTCGTATATATTTTTTAACCAAATGTATTATGATCGTGCTGTTGAATTTTCAGGGCAATTAGTATTTCAAAGAGGGCCATTACATTTCTCCAATATTTTAATGAACTATCGCTGTTTATTACTTCGTGCTGCCAAAGATACGCTAATTGCCATTTTATCTCGCATAACTTGCTAAAAGGAATTTTGTAATAAGCGGATAGCTGGTTGATGTTCTACCTATACACTTGTAGCAGCAAACTTTATTATTATCGCTTGAAATTTTCATTATTTGAGACATTACTAAACGACGACACCAACTTTTCTCTTTATTATTATACTAATTGTTTATTGCAAAAGAAATTGTACTCTTTCTTTATTTTATTACTTTTTTGTACCTATTAGGTTTTTTGCAGAAAAAATTTACATGAAACACGTAAAACACAGAATTGAATAACGAATTGAAGTTCAAAAAAAGTTGTTGTTATCGCAGAGAGATTTTGAAAAATTAAGTTACTTTAATTAAAATTATGATAGGTAACTAATTATTTAAAAAAAAATCGTTGTCTAATTAAACAGATTCCCATATTATTTTGAAGTGCATTTTTAGTAAAAAACATTTTATACCTACATAGCCTGGCGCCGACGAGGGGGACAAGAACAAGCGTCTCTAACGTCGTATACTGGCGTCAGTTTGGTGACTCACTCCGTGGTACACCCCATCTGAAATGCCTACCTGTGCTGGAACTCCCCTGTCTCTAATAACACGTGATTTTAATGAGGTCTAACTATAAGGGGTTGCATTTTTTACTAATATTCAATATCTATCCGTTGTATAACGGGCGAAACAAAGCTTTTAAACGTAAATGCAATGTAAGAAGCTAATGTTAGCTTTCTGATCAATTCTTACTACAAAATGATAAAGCCACTATGAACATCCGGTTTATTAACATTTGTTTGACGAACAAAACTCCTCACGTAAAATAAATCATTGTACCCTTATTGGCATTGATTCTTTTTAAATACACAAATGAAGGAAAGAAATGGCGAACAGAACAAAACTAAGAAAAAGAGTGGTCCAACAAAAAGTGGAAGAAAGTTTGATATGGACAAATCATCTTATTTAACGATAAAAACAAATTTTATTTATTATCAATAAATAAATTTATCATGAAGAAAATCCTAAGTTCTAGGAGTAAAACTTACGTATTATGAGATTTTACTTATCAAACAGCCAAACCAATGTTAATGAACGTAAGTCAGCCTTAAACTTTTATGTCTACGTACCAAATCAAGTACACTGGCCGGTATTTCCGAAGTGAAAAAAGTCCTAAATCTTCGGAAACGCAATGGCAAATCTGGTAAGATGGAAAACTCTCCATTAAGAAGGTCCAGTCGAAAGCAATTTTCTTCTCCCGTAGGACACGAAAGAATCCTGCCATCACCGTTAACAACCACCGCATCAAATGAAGCAACTCCATTACTTACCACGGCGTCGTCTTCGACAGAACACTGACATGGCGAAAGTACATCCTTTTTTTTTTTTATGTTTTCGTGGAAGAGGGGAAATCTTCAACACCCAGCCATCCATAGTGTCGGACCCAGTCGTACGGATATCCTTGCCATCCGTGTCAAGAATCTAGCCGCATTTATATCCCTCAAGCCCTTCTTCAAAAACAGCTCCATCTCTAATCAAACAAAAATCTGTGCGTTCAACGTAAATATCAGAAGCATTTGCTCCTATACCATCCCCATCTGGGACTGTGCCGATTCGCACCGCCTACAAATTCTTTANAGGGGTAGAGGTAGACCTAGATTAGATTACTGTTCGCAAATAGTTAAGGATGTGGGTTGTTCTAGTTTTAGGGAAATGCGAACTTTAGCTCAGAATAAAAAAGAGTGGAGGTACGTGTCCAACCAGTCTTAGGACTGACGACCTTATGATGGTGATGATATAAATGTCAATTATAGCCAAAGCAGCCGCTAGGGAAACTCCCGCGCCACATATCGCGGCTGCCTCAAGGTTCCAAAGAGAACCGTACCCCCAAAAATCATTATCACCTCCCAACACTCCGATTGTTCAAAAGACCGGGCAATCAGCGCCCCGTCCAACAGCACTTCCCGCAAGGACCCCCCCCCAAAAGTCCTACCCCAAGACAGTGACAGCAGCTTCCACCCCCTCTCTCTCTCAAAAGTGCAATGAGACCCCAAAAGCCTCTGCAACTTCTACTCTAGAACAGAGAATCCTGCCAAAGAATAGCAGTCAGTCTAGTCACCGTCCTACAAACACCCACCAATGTATAATACAGTCCACCCAACCAAGCTTCGTATAGTTACCTGCAATGCCCAAAGCATTAGAGGTAAACTGACTAAGCTGGAACACTTCCTCGAGGAAAAGTCAATTCGTGTTGCTTGCATCACCGAAAGTCACTTGTTCCACAAAGTCACACTTTTCGTCCCAAACATCTCATTCTACAGAAGGGACCGTGAAAACGTAGGTGCCGGCAGCGAAGCCATCCTTGTTAGGAAATTTTAAAGCACAGACGTATCTCTTTGGCCACAAATTCCTTACAAGCAGTCGGCATCGAAGCCTAACCAACATCCGGCTCTCTTAGGATGATCTGCCTCTCTCCCCCTTTTGGATTAAAACTTCTCTCAACTCCCTCTCCTCCTCCACCCAGGGGTTTTGATTATTTTCGCAGACAATTTCAACGCTAAAAACGTTTCGTCGCGCTGTCGATAAACCAACAAAAAAGCATATTCCTTCTTACCAAAGTTCTCGACTTCAACCTCACAGTTGAAGCCCCCTCTGATTCCACGTTCCTCTCTGTCCCCCACAATCAATTCCTTGACGTCCTCGACATTTTCGTCAAAAAATTGTTATGTTTTCCGCCGATCCTATCATCCTCGACGGACTGAGCTGATCACCTTCTAGCCCTAATTGAAGTCGGTCGCCCAATTAACAACCCCCCAAACCCAACCATTTCACTAAGTAAACTGGCTACATCTCCGCTACACCTTTAAAACATCTTCACTCCAATTCGCACAATAGCGGAAGCTGTGAATCTTCTCCACGACCTTCCGCCCAGACAACCCCCCCCCCCCGCAGACATTCTTGCCCTTGTTAAGAGAAAAGACAGAACCCGCCGACTGTGGCAAAGGTACCGTGATCTCACACATCATGCTAAGCTTCACAGAATTCCGCATTGCCCCTTTTGATGAATACACCCCAAAGGCATTTGGAAAATAATCCGCTCTCTCCGAAACAGAGCTCCCCATCTCCCACCATTAAAGCAAAATGATTCCCTATACAGTTCAGATGATGAAAAAGCTGCATTCTTCGCAGACTGTCTCTGTACCCTGTAGTCTTGCCGAATTTCACGAGCGAACCAAAGCCGCCTCTCAAAACTTTTGCTACTGTTTCCGACTTTAAACAAACGTCCTCCTGTGAAATCGTCCTCACCATCCGATCTCTGAAAAAGAGAAAAGTCCCTAGCGCGGACAGAATTCCCAATGATGTCTTAAAAGTACTGCCACCAAAACACATAACTGCACTATGCAATATCACAAGCGCTATCATGCGGCTCCACCATTTCCCTTTGGTCTGGAAAGAAGCCACAATCATTTGTCTCCCCAAAAAAGGGAAGCCACTTAGCGACCCCTCAAGCTACAGACCTATCAGTCTGTTCAGTTCGCTGAGCAAAATTGTGGAATCCATCCCTCTAGACTGGCTTCTTGACCACATGGAGCAAAACCATCTCCTTCCCGATTTCCAACACGGTTTCCGTAGACACCACGGCACCGACCATCAATTCCTTCCTGTTGCTGAACACATTTCTGACAACCTCAACAAGCACTTTCACACGCCCATGCTTCTGCTTGACATCCAACAGGCCTTCGATCGAGTCTGGCACCTAGGTCTCATTTCCAAGCACATCGCCCTCAAAACCCCATTATCGGGGTTATTAGATTCTCTCTTTCTGACAGAAACTTTCGTGTCCGTGTTGGCTCTGCTTTATCCCCCCGTAAACCCGTCACCGCAGTTGTACTGCAATACTCCAAGCTGTAGCCCCTTCTATTCAGACTTGCTGTCCCATCCTTCAATTCTTACTGCCCTTTACGCCGGTGACGTTGCCCTTATATATTCCACTAAAACAATTTTACGGAGCCCCGCAAAAATTAATAAATTTCCGCCCTGCTCCTTAACTGGTATCGAAAATGGAAACATACTATTAACGAGACTAAATCGAAATCTTCTTCTCCCGTAGGACCCGAAAGCCTCCCACCATCATCGTTAACAATCACCCCATCAAATGGAGCAACCCGATCACTTACCCTGTCTTTTACAGAACATTGACATGGCGAAAACACATACTTGCAACCCGTGTCAAGGCGCCTTTTTTCAAAAACAGTTCAATCTCCAATCAAACAAAAATCCGTGCGTTCAATATAATTATGAGAAACATTTACTCCTACGCCATTCCCATCTGAGGCTGCACCTATACCCGCCACCTACAAATTCTACAAGGCACTTACATGCGGATTCTTCGTTCCGCGCTTAAGTACCCATGGTTCATCAGAAACACCCAAATTCTAAAACCTACCTACCTTCTCTTCTCGAGGCTGCAACCAGATTCACGGCAAATCTCAGGGCCTCAGTGTCAGGTCATTCAAATCCGACTATCTTGACACTATCCGACTTCGCCCCTAAACGAAATGACCGTCAGCTCACCTGTTGCTCAACTTTAGTTTCATTCTTTAGCGCAAGTGCTTACCCAACTCTTTCAGGTGGAACACCGATTTTCATCCACATCATTCCTCCCCCAAAACTCTCCCTCTCCTTACTCATTCCTCTCCTCTCTCGCAACCTTTCTAACGGACCTCCCCAGGGATGTACAACCCAAGGGTTGATTTCCCTACTCGAGGAGGGGTTTTAATCGGTAGGCGCTTCGGCGAATCCAACATTATTCCCCTTTAGGGTGTCTTTTTGAAGATTTCCCCTCCTCGAGGAAAAACTAAACAAAAACAAACCAATGCAACCATTACCTATCCTAGGCTGGTGGCTGCCCACGTGCCGCTCGAGGTAAAATTCGGGTAAATGACTATATAGATAAAAAGGTTGGAAAAAAAATGGTTTTGTTATTATACTTCTATGAGCTTAATAAAGGTCCAAATAAGAAACGAACCCCCTTCGGGACCTGAAGCGACCATGCTAAGCCTCGTACCCGGGTTGAACCGCCCTCTCCTCACTAAGCGCATGTCTTAAATTATATTAAATTATTGTAAAGGAGCTGAAAAACTAGATGAAGTCGCTGAGCTAAGGATGTCTTATAAGAAATAGCCCAAGGTCGAGTCGCTTTTAACAAAAACAAATCACTTTTGTGCTCGAGAAAAATCGAGGAACATTATTAAATGTGTATGTTTGAAGCACGACTCTGTATGGAAGTGAAATGTAGTAGTGAGTGCTACGAAAAAAGAAAAGTTTGAAGCATTCAAAATGTAGAGTTATAGGAAGATGATATTAAAACTACCACAAATTTAAAAGGTTAGATATGAAAAGATATTAGGAAGAGTACGAGAACAGAGGGTGTTATGGATGTCAATAGGTTGATAGATGACACCTTCTCAGACATGAAGGACCAGTCAGAAACATATTAGAACCAGAAAGTGTAATTAATAGGAGCAAAAGCACACCTATAATACATTCCTGTTTAGAAATAATATACTTAGAGATTCAAGTTGCTCTAGTTTTTGAGAAATGCAATGATAGGCTTAAGTTAACCTAAGAAGTGAAGGTTCGTGTATAAGTCCTTATGATGAAGCAGAAACAACTTCAACTATTTTGTAAAATGGACTTTAAATCTCATATTTCACCCTGTATGTAAGTGTAGGTATTTTTAAAATTCGTAAGTATATTGCAGTTGGAATTGTGGCTGATAATTTTGCAAATTGGTCGTAGGTTCTTTATGACGTTATTAGTGGTACCACACATGAAATCCGTGATTTTGAGAATTTCTGTTGGTGAGTCGACATTTTCTCTTTAACGTCACATCAAGGGACAAATCCTCAAGCAAATGCCTATCGCGATATGCATATTTGATACGATTTTAATGTGTCTGGAGCGTAAGCCTCTTACACACAGCATATTGCCGTTGCAGCGATCATGAATAAATTATATCAAATATCTATCAAGCAGAAATGTTGCCAAAGCCGATCAGATTGTTCTTTTCTTGTCTATACATCTACCGGAAGTCCCTATCTTTTTATATTATAATACATTAAGTTTTATACGTACCCCAGAAGCCTAAAATTCGAACTTCCACGGTCGATTCATATGATTCATTTTTTATTTGAAACGGGATACTCTTAAACTGATCCCTTTTAAATTTTATCAACATAGATGTAGTAGTTTTTACTTAATAAACTAGTCAAAACCCCAATAACTCAAAACACTAAAGATGTTAAAACTTTATTGTTCCTACCTGCGGTACTAACCCCTTGATATCAAGAAGGGTACCAGCGTAAATACCTTCGTAGTAAGACAGACATAATGGCATCAAACACTTAGGTTTTTCCCTAAATTATCGGTAGTGCATACTTGCATATGGACTGTTCGGGTAGGCGTGGACCAGGGGAAATTTGGGGGTAGTGACCGAAGTGTGTTTAGTTTTAAGATATAAAAACACTTTTAGATAATAATAACAGAAGAACAATTCAGACAAGCAGACATGTAACAACTGTCTTTTTTAAGCAATTAGTATTAGTTTTAGTTCATTAGTGTGTATGTAGGATTATTAAACGTATAATACAGTCGAATCTTTTTAATCTACATGCACTGGTCTTTCGAGATATATATTTTGTGAGATCAATTATTTATTGATCTATGTGATACAGCAGTACACCGCCGGAAACAACAAAAAATTTTCGTCAAGCGAGCCAAGCTCCCCAACAAAAGCCAATCTATTTAAACCACTACAGCCTAAGGAGTTTAAGACACCTAAATCATTAATTTAAAAATCCAAATCATAAATACTTCCAAAAGTTCATCACTTGAACTTCCTAAATAAATTGACCGTATGGTGTAAGCTTTTTAAATACAATAACTAGAAACATAGGTAGCCAAAGGCCTAAAGCGCCGAAATAATGTATTTACTTTTATTAAATCAAATATGTACTTAAAAGATAGACTCCCTGTTCTCTGGGTTATGGATTTTAAAAAACATACGTTATGGACTTATGGGGTTTATAGCTACGGTCAACGTTAAGATCTTCAAAACGCTCTTTTTTGGATGCTTTTATATACTCCTTTTCATTATCGCCTCATCGCCTCTAAAAAAGATTTCTGAATCCGCCCATAAATCTAGTTGATTGATCGTGAGCTGCACTCAATTTGTTATTCGGGCAACTGCCGATATTGTTTGTTCTGTGATTGTTACATAAACTTACATTACTTATCGTTAGATATAAGAAAAGAAAGCAAGTAACCTCTTATAATTTAAATATGCTGACGTATGTACTACAAGTAGTATAATGAAC